TTCTGTTTTTAGTGGGTTTTGTTCTTTGTTTATAAACCAATATGAGTCATCATTTTGTGCGTTCATTCTTGTAGATAAGGATAATGATACTTGAAGGATTTCATGCAAAAGAGAAAAGAAAGAAAAAAAACACAGTAGGAGATCACATGAGACGAACTGACAACTGGAGAGAATCATACCGGCAGAAAAATGGCGACTAGCTGCAGCGTTTTTTCTGCCTTTGTGCCCTTATCTTCCCTTTTTACTCCTCTAATCTTTTGTTTGTCTCTCTTTATTATTTCTATCCGCATCATAACTCAACTCCTGTTCTTATTCTTTCACAATATCATTCTTTTCTCACTGCTTTATTATTTTTTCCCCCTCATCCTCCTCCATTTACATCCTGACTCTCCCTCCTTCTATTCTCCTGCCCTCTCAGCCCGTTACTTACACACATCTTTTCAGCCATAATGGCATGCGTTTGGTGGATGCAGTTGGCTAAGCCCCAAGCATCTGCTCAGATAAATGAACGCTTCTGACATTGCTTCACAGGATAAGTGTGTGAGTGTGTGTKTTCTGTGGCGTGTTTGCATGTCTGTGCTGGTTACTACCAGTCGCAGCCTCACGCTCTGTGGCTTCACGTGCTTATGAATGAGTGTGTGTGCAGAGCGTAGATTTTTCTGCACGTGGGTGCTGGCCTGCACAGAAAGTACACCTATTAGCTGATTGTAAACGACATTGTGGCTCATGCACAAAACTTGAAGTGTCTGTTCGTACATGTGTGCGATAATCATCCTTTGTTTGGGCACAGCCCCCCCCGCCCCCCGCCCGCCCCCAATATGCATCCCAAACCCTTCATTAACTAAACATGACCCTTAAGAGCATGATTAGCCTCATTTCAAGACAGGATGTCGGAAGCCATCAACCGAGGGGGGAAAAATCCATTACTATAATTGCATTGAGCTGAGGGAGGGGGGGCGGGAGGAAGGATACAGAGATGGATTAAAAAAAAAAGGAAGAAAAAGAGTGAGACTAAGGGAGGAAGGAGCCAGAGGGCTGTCAGGGATGGAGTGAGAGAGAGGATGGAAAGATGTCTGAGGACGGGGAGGGGGGAGCAGGATGTAATGACCGTGGCCACCAGCGTTTATTCTATATGAACGTATAGCTGCTTCTCGTGGATTCTCCCCCCCACGGCTGTACGCTCAGTTGGTACAGCCCTCCGACAATAAAACCACCTCCAGTTAGTCTTGATGTGGCACTTTCACTCCCGTTCTCCGGCTGACACGAGAGTCACCGGCCCGCTTCTGGAGGGCTGCGAGCGGACCTCCATGCCGGCTCCATAGGGCGCAGGGAACACGCCCAACATGGCGTTCTGTGCACAGCTGGCTGGAGGGGCGGCGGGACGCTGCAGGTCCTCTGGGCCGTCGAAGCCGACGTACCGTGACGCCGACAGAGAGACTAAAAACTATATTTATATGTTGTGTATAAATATATTTTTTATGTGTCGCACCTCTCCTCATCTGTCTGTCTGCCACTCTGGCGTGAAGCCGCTCAGCATGAGTGAGTATCACTCACATACATGGAAACGCCCTCACACACTTACACTTTTTCTGTCACCTTTCTGTCTCTTATTGCTTGATTGTTTGTGTGCAGAAATGCAAAGATGACGAGGTGATTAAATGAATTATTGATCGCAGGAGTTAAATGTCATCATCTTATTTAGGTTAAATGTACGTTTTGAAGTTTTTTGTGGTTTTTGCTGAGCTCAAAGTGAAAAATTGAAGGGTGGGGTTTCTCATGCACACTCACTTGGGCTGTGGTCAGCTCTTTTTGTCATGACAGATTTTTATTTTTACTTTCACAATGACTTGCAGCGCAGCTGATCTCCTCCCATTAACTCTGATTTTTGACTTTCTCTTGGACTTTTGGAGATCAGGTATCATTAGGGCAAAAGAAAGTCAAATAACTTGCAAATATCCTGTATTTTGATAAAGGCGTAGTTTTATTATCTTTACTACAGCTACTGAATAAAGGGCCGGTCTCAATATTCACACGGACTATAAAAGCTGAAGCATTTTCTATTTGATATTCTAAAATATAGTTATTTTTTGTTGATTGGGATAGATTTTGTGAGCTGTGTTTTAATTTCAGCTTGCACTCATCCTCCTATTTTAGCTCGTTTGTTTTTTTTTGTATGAAGTAACAGAGTATTTATTTGAGTTCTTGATCTTGTTGAATTTTCCTGGATGTATTTCTGTTTCTGTAGAAGCTTCTGGACTGTCTGGCCAGCAGGCTGTGGGTGTTCACAATGGGTTGCAGATCTCTCAGGATACACAATACAGGGGTGGGGCAATACATCTTATACAATATACAATCTACTCTTTAACGCTGAATCCATCGTGAGGCGCAGTGAGCGTGTTTGCTGAAACGTCGCCCCGTTTTTTCTGTTTCCTCTGCTTGACAATGAGAGGGTAGAGGAAATGAGGCACTGGCAGCATTCAGTCTGTGAAAAATGCTGGTACAGAGTGTCTCAGACTGAAAAACATGCCTGGATCGTCAGCTGTTTAGTGCTAATTAAATCACCCTCAGACTGACGCACAGTTCTTGATTGAAGGAGGTTAAACTAGTTAGCTTCTAGGTTATTCTTTTATCTCCTTCTAGTAAAAACTGTAATCCTTTCCTTAGTCATATCTGGTAGCAGGTGTTTTTATGAATGATTGTTTTATAAAAAAAAAGACAAGCATTCAGTTTGAAAGGGAAAGCTTTTTGCATCGCAGACAAATGGGGGAATTTTTTGGCCGCAGCTGTTGGCGAAGTTGTCGTTTTACATTTGGCACAGAAAATGTTGTATAAGCAGTTGTTGGCAGTGCAAATGCAGCTGGCAACTGGCTTCAAAATGACAGCAGTGGAAAGTCCTGAATTTTCTCCTAGAGCAGAAAACGCTGAGGCAACTTCCCAGCGGTGTTGGCCACCGATGGCGAAGATGGTTTTGACAAGAGCAGCTTTCAGTTGCTGCTTTTAGACACATTCTCCAATCTGCAGCAACATCCACTAATAAGACGAGTGTGATTGTCTTTTTGTTTTCCTTTTTATTTTCCTATTCAGCTACTTTCTGGTTATCGTGGATATATATATATA